CTAGGCCTGGCGCTGGACCTCTTTTTTGTTTATGTGTTTTTCGCCCCACGCAGCGTGGGGCGCTGGTCTGGGTGCTAGTTTTCAACTTTGTTTGAATGAACATCCCCACCAACCTGAGCACTTAGTACATCCATTATACACGTCCCGCACCATTCCTACATATAATTTCTATGACTACAAAGAAAACAAAAAAATTCTAATCTACTCTAACTAAAAACAAAAAGACTAATCTACGAAAGCAATAAATATAAGGTTGCCTCCTAACAAGCGCCTGATTTAATGTCTTGGCACGACGCAATACGTTCCCTCACGTATCCACTAAGTCTATCAAAGTTTTGTGATAACGAACGCCACCACCCCAATAATGTTTCACTCTCTGCCCATTGACTAAAAATGTGCCATTGCTTTCGGGATCCTTTAGCTCAACAACTCTATGCTTTGTAACCCGTACTACTTTAAATGGACCCGGCCATCTAGACTTGAGCTTCCCAGGAAAGAGCTACAACCTTGAATTGAACAATAGAGCTGGTTGATCCGGTTCGAACTCACGGTGCAAAATGTGTTTGTCATGCCATCCCTTTATTTTCTCTTTATACAACTTCGCATACTCATATGCATGTAGTTGAAACTCTTGGTGCTCATTTAGTTGCAACGTCCATTTTTCCCCAGCTAGATCCATATCAAAGTTGAGCTTCTTGATTGCCCAATATGCCTTGTGCTCAATCTCAACAGGCAAGTGACAAGCCTTTCCATAAACCAACCTGTATGGCAAAGCTCTAATTGGAGTTTTGTATGCCGTGCGATATGTCCATAGAGCGTCATCTAGATTGCTAGCCCAATACTTCCTACTTGCGCTCACTGTCTTCTCCAAAATTTGCTTCACCTCCCTATTTGAGACCTCTGCTTGACCACTGATTTGCGGATGATAAGAAGTTGCGACCTTGTGTCTCACCCCATACTTAGCTAAGTTGTTTCCCAACAGTTTATTACAAAAGTGAGTATCTCCATCCTTGATCAAAGCACGCAGAGTTCCAAATCTCGCCACTACCTTAACATCATTCGTAGGCAGAACCACAGCCTCAACCCAATTTAACACATAGTCAACTGCAGCCAAGGTGTACCGATGACCATTTGATGCTGGAAACGGCCCCATGAAGTCTATTCCCCAAACATCGAAGATTTCGACCTCAAGTATGCCCTTCAATGACATCTCATGCCTTCTCGAAATTGTTCCCATCCTTTGGAACCTATCACTTCTTTTCACAAAAGCATGTGCATCCTTGAATAGCTTGGGCCAGTAGAATCCTGACTGCAACAACTTTGTAGCTGTTTTGTCTCCACCATGGTGCCCCCCATATGGTGATGCATGAAAATCATGTAAAATTGCTTCCATCTCCTCCTCTGGAATACATCAGTGCACCAACTAATTTTCATACTGCTTAAACAAAAATGGGTCATCCCATAGAAAAGGTCTAACATTATGCATGATTTTTCTCTTACCATACGGAGATAACTCTGATGGAGTCACCCCACTTACAATGAAGTTCACATAGTCAGCATACCATAGGGAAGTGCCAGCTGTGATGGCTAGAAATTGCTCATCAGGAAAACTTTTCTGAATTTCGCCCCTTCCTCAATATGTGCGCGAGTTTCCAAGTGCGACAAATGGTCCGCTACCTGATATTCTATCACTTTTTGATCTTTGATTTCCACACCAAATTCCTGCAAAATAATAACCCAACGAATTAGTCTAGGCTTAGCATACTTTTTCTCAAACAAATACCTGATGGCTGCATGGTCTGTGTAAACGATGGCTTTAGTTCCCACAAAGTAGGCCCTAAATATTTCAAACGCCCATACTACCGCAAGCAACTCTGTTTCTATGTCTGTGTAATTTATCTGAGCTAGGTTTAGAGTTTTGCTAGCATAGTAAATTGAGTGGAATACTTTATTTTTTCTCTGGCCTAATACGACCTCACTGGCATCACATAACAACTCAAAAGGCTCTCCCCAGTCTGGGGTGGTGATAATTGGTATAGTCACCAATCTCCTTTTCAACTCCTCATACGCCTTCAAGCAATGCTC